AGGACACTCTAATAACACTGATCAGAGAACGAGAATCTGCCGGAACACGAAATACGAATATCATGACATCGGAATTTTTCCCACTTTATATTACGTGGCTTTAAGCACTATGTACTTACATCGAAAAATAAGTAATAGTTTGTTCATGTTGTATTAAAACACTTTATTTTAAGGTGTATTTGTTAGTGTAATTGTACGGAGGCGTATTGAATTAATGAGTTAATTTTTCATGAGAAAATTTATTTTTGCTGTTTTTCTGAATTAACTCATTAATTCAGAAAAACAGAGCAAAAAAAAAATATTCCATTAAAAATTAACTCATTAATTCAGAAAAACAGAGCAAAAACTTTTTTTCTCATGAAATATTAACTCATTAATTCAGAAAAACAGAGCAAAAACTTTTTTTTCTCATGAAAAATTAACTCATTAATTCAGAAAAACAGCAAAAAAAAAATTTGTCATAAAAAAATAAACTCGTTAATTCAGAAAAACAGAGCAAAAAAAAATTTCTCATGAAAAATTAACTCATTAATTCAGGAAAAACAGAGCACATTTTTTTTTCTCATGAAAAATTAACTAGTTAATTCAGAAAAACAGAGTAGATTTTTTTTTCTTCAAGTGAATGCAATACGCCTCCGTACAATACGCCTCCGTATAATTGGATGTTTAAGTACTGAACAGTAAAAATGAACTACACGTACTTACTATAGGGTTAGGGTAGGATTAGGGTGTTAGTTGCATGTAGTTATGCATCATTTATTGTTATTACTATGATAAGTACATGCAACATATGTAACTAACACTGCATAATAAAGTGTTACCAACACTTGTGCTGCTACTGAGGAGAGATACGGGTAAGGTTAGGGACAGGTGTGGGTTAAGGTGTAAGGCTCAACAATTACATAAATTAATTACCTGCAGGTGTTTTTAAAATATAAAACAGCGTAAAGTCCAATGTATAGAATTGTTAATGTCAATGTTAGTACATCGTATTAAGGCGCTTAATATAAAGTGGGACTTTTTTCTTTTAATTTTTTGGTATAATGGGAACCGTAATAGGACGAAATGCATGAGAAAGTTTTTTTAATTAGGTTTTTTTTTTTTTTTTAAATCTCATTTTAGCCCAAAAAGCGTTTGTTATGGAATACAGCTGGGAATGATGGTCACTTAACCTAAAAGTGGACAAACAGCAGACTTTCCTTCATATATCAGCGCAAACGTGAACGCCAAACGACAGACTCAAGTACTGAATGTTGATGTGTTTTTAGATTTGCTATATTGTATATTTATCAGCCATATTCTTGGATGTGGACAACTTTGACTTAAAACGGTCTAACCGGGATGAAATTCATAGCGAGGAAGCACTCGTGACGAGAGATTCGTGGCTTTTCTCTACAAGGGCTTGTAAAAACAAATATGTTACTGCTTATTTCAGTACGGTTACCTTAAACACAAATGTGTCAGATAACAGTTTGATATTTGGAATAAAAAGCGTGTGTTATCCGTTAAAATTCATTTGAAGTTTTTCCTATTGTTCTGGTGCTCATAATTTTGTTTTAACTTCTAGTTCAATTAAGAAAAACGGTGTTTACATGACAACGGTTTTTGAAAAGTTATACGCAAAGACGACAACGCTGTCAAAAAGATCCTCGTTCACTCGAATCCGTGATAGGGGAGAGGAGTATTGAGTTGAGAATGGATGTAAGTTGGGTTAGCAATGGAAGATAAAGCCATGACGGATATTGTTACCTAATGGAAGCATGTAGATGATGAAAAGAAAAGGTCCAAGAACCGAACCCTGGGGAACACCGTGTGAGACAGACGGTCAGACAAGTAGGAAGTGAATAGGGCAGTTCTAGTTGAAGTTCGATTAAGAAAATGGTACATTTGCATGACAACGATGTACTAAAAAGTTTTTGAAAAGTTTTGCGTACAGACTACAATTTTGTCAAAATGATCCCATTCTCAGGGATACACAAAAAACAAATAATAGCCTAATATATTTTTTAATTCTATATAGCGCCTTTCTGCAAACTCAAGGTCGCTTTATAATATAAAAAGTAAACACGACAGCAGGCAAAGAGACAGTATAGATACAATGAGTGTAGATAAGATGAATGAGTTGGTGGGGAAAGGAGCAGTGCGTTGAGAATGGATGTCAAGTTTGGTGTCATTTGCATAGCAATGGAAGTTAAAGCTATGATGGATGGCATGTATGAAGAGAATGAAGAGAAAAGGTCCAAGAACCGAACCCTGGGGAACACCGTGTGAGACAAGGGCAGTTGTAATAGACTGAACAGTATGCATGACGTCAATGTGTTCACAATTTCGCTTTTATGTATTTTACACAGAGACGATAACAATGAAAATGGTAAATAATCAATAATATAATAAGTTTTTGATCAAGCAACAAATTGTAAGTAATTTAGTCTAAATATATTTTGCCTGTAACCGATTCTTTTCTGCAGGCTCTTAAAAGCTTTTTTTTATAGAATACACAAAATTTAACAACAATGCCCATTGTCAACAGAATACAGAGAAAAAATGAGTCGACAATAATTCGCTAACGACAGAAATAGATAAATAAGAAATATAAAGAACATGAGGGTAAGAGAAACAAATGAATGAGACAAATTGAAGGCATTGCAAATTAAAGACGTTCTACTTGCTTTCTTATTTAATGAAGACAAAACAGTGATGAAATACTTTCTGAATTCTTAAAAAAAAAATAATAATAAGATTCATTGTGTCCTATACATACAGTCTTTAAAAGTTATGGTTACATCATGCAGGATATTATCATTACATTCATAAATGTGCTAATTTTTTTATTTTCTTTTTTTATTGAATATGTATCAAATAACAAGCAGGTATAAAGCACAGAACACATAGAACTCATACATTTTTTTTTTTTAATTATTTATTCTAACCAACAAAGTCAATATACAGTCAGAATTGCAATATATACAAAATGGAGAAAACAAAAACAAGCAAAAAAACAAAAAAAACAAAAAACAAAACAAAAATCAGACAGCCAGGGGGGGAGGCTAAACATTATATAAAAATATCAAAGGATTCACAAATCGAAATAGTTTTCATAGAACTCATAAATGTGCTAATACACTTTCCAAAGTTTGACGTCACAGCTCATGTTTTGGATCAGCGTGGAACTTGAGTTTAAAGAGGATCTGGCGCCATCTAGCGGCAAAGACACTCCTTCATGTTGTAGTTCATCACAGTTTATAAAATATAATATGTTTAGGCCTAATAATCGACATATATCGTAGGCTACTGATGCTGTCAAAATATTAGCATTCTGACTCTTAATGATAATAATTTTTCTTTATTTACAAAATGATCTTAACTCCAGTCTAGCCTAAACCATGAAGAATCAATGCCAAAAAATAGGCTAAATGTAAAAATAAAAGCATTGGCATTCCTAATTAGTTCTAATTATTCTGATTTTCATGGTGCATGTCAAACTAACATTTACCCTGCTTCAAACTGTTGTATTGAGTGCTCTCAGTGGCTGACCTGGCAAACTCAAAGCTGATCCCAGAGCAACAACTTCACCTTGGCGCTGAGAGCTCTTTCTCCAGCCAGTGTTCGCTGCCTTCATATATCTGCTGTATTTTGGAAAATGGAGTGTGAAAGCCACTCGGCAACCCGATCCAAGTGTCTTTTGGCAAACCTGTGGCTGTAACACACACAACAGTGGAAATGAGTCACAAACGGGGAAAATAGTATCAGCTTCTGTGATTGGAAATCCGGGCCTGCACAGTTAGAATAATCCTCTCTGATTTCTCCAGCAGGAATCAACCACTTCTCATCTGAGGAACAAAGAGCCAATGGTGTACAGGGAAAGCTGGCATGGGACGTATCTGACAAGAATATCCATTCAGTTATGAATATGTTCCCAGCCGACACATCCGACCTGAAATATTGTCACGTTGAATGCTAAATGGCAGAAAAAGTTTTTACAATTATTATTAGTTTTATTACAAGATCTGGATGTTGAATCAACATTATGTCTTCAACAACACTAAAAAATTGCTGCCTTAAATTTGTAGGTACAATCAACTTGAATATTTAAGTTATTTCAAATTACGAAGATTAAGACATTAGGACAAATTAAAAATGAGTTGAATCTTTATAATAAAAAGGAAAGAATTGCTTATCTTATGATGAGTTAAAGCAATGTAAACACTTGTCATAATTATATTTTTTACAGTGAAAAAAAAATAATAAAAAGTGCCTTTTAAATTATTATTATTATAATTATTTTATGATATTTTGATCATAGCCTACCTGTGATCAATGTAGGCCATTAATAATAATGATAATAATAATGTAGCCTATATTCTGAGTGTTCTCTGAACATGCAAACGTTAAGCGAACATTCCATTTTATAATTTTGGGAATTATGGGAACTTTTTTAATGTTATCTGGACGTAATGTATATAACATTAGGCTACTATAGATAAAAAAAACATAACAAACCTACTATTAATGTTACTGAAAGAGCGTTTGCGTCATGTTTAAGCAAGCAAAAATAGATTGATTAAATAGGCTAAAGTTTGTTTCCTACGCTAATAGAATATGTAAAATGTATGTATTTCTAATATTTACACAATTCAATTTGGTTTGACTTCCTTTGAGGGGGTCAGACACAACAAGCTACACAAGCTGCCTTTTATAGAACTATTGTTTACAAAACAGTTATAGAATTTGCGGCTAGCAATTGCAGTTATTCGTTATATCGTGATTGTTATGACAGAACAAAATAGGAGATCTAAATAGGAGATAAAATAGGAGATCTAAGAAATAAGAGCCTGTTTTTATAAAAGTATTTACTTGAATAAATAAATAAATAAATAAATGAATGAATGTCTGGACGAGCGAGGAGCACGTAATAAAGGGGTGAGCACTAAACTCTGGCGCGATCTCGCTCGCTTCACGCGCGTTCATCATCATCATCATCATCATCACACCTGTTCCAGTCTGCGCAGGTTCCGCTCACCTGCGCCAGAAACACACTTCAAAACAACATGACTTGAGCTCCAGCCTCGCAGACCAGCCGAATGAAGCGCGCAATGACCGTGCCGTGGAGTTTGCTGTGGATTCTGGGTTTGATCTGCTCCTCGGACTCCGGCTGCTCTCCGACATCTTACTATAAGAGCTGCTGGATCCGCAGATATCCAGGACTGTATGTGGACATCGAGGAATCTCAGCGCAGAGGAGCTCATCTCCTGAGGGTTTATCAGGACGAGTCTGCGCTCAAGTGCAGCAGAGCCTGCTGTCTTACACCAAACTGTGAGTTAATGCTTTAACTAAAGTACTAAAGTAGCCCAAAGACACTTAAAAGCGTCTGAATGTCATTGCATGAGGGATCAAAACATTAAAGGAAGTGTCATTTATTCGAAAGAAAGACAGTAAAGCGTTTCACAAAAAAAGTTTGATTGATTTAATGATGGTGGTAAACATGAAAACACGTGTTTGTAGTCAGAGGAACATGTTGATGTACACGTGTGCTAGATCACCTGTGTGAACTGACTTTATATATCCACTTAAAATCACAAATCATGACGCATTTGCAATTCCATTCAGATGTTTTAAGTGTAATCTTAATTTTGGATATTATACCTATTGTTTTATTTTTATTTTTTGTTTTATACCTATTCAATGATGACATTTAGACAACACATTTTTTTAAATCACAACGCACGTAAAATAATGCAAATAGTCTCATACTTGTCTAATTAATACAGCAGATGCTTTTAGCAACGTACAAATTGTGGAACATCACAAGCAATTAGACATTGAATTTTCAATGTACTCAATGCCAAGTTAAAAGTATGAACTAGATTTGTATATAAAGCTGTAGCAGAGGTAAAATACTTCTTTTTATATTAAAAATAGTAACATATCATATGACATTATATGGGATATTTGTTGTTTTTAACTAAATGACCAGCCCATTCTCACCCCCAAGGCGTCACTTAACTGACGCCTTGGGAAGCATTTGGACATGCTTCAATATCTGACGCTTTAGGCGCCCGTTAGCGTCAGTTAGATGATCGCGTGTACCCTACCCCCACCCCACACACCTAAACCTAACCGCGTCCTCTAACTGACGCTTTCCTTTAGCGTCAGTTAGATGACGTCGTAGGATCGCGTCATGTAAGTGACGCTAAAGGGCGCCTAAAACGTCAAATATTGAAGCGTGGTCAAAGGTGACGCCTTGGGGTGAGAATGCGTTGAAATGACTGATTCAATGTGTATATTATAATTACCTTTTATCATTTAGAATTAAAATAAAAAATGTAATCATTTATTAAAGAATGTCATTCCACTATATACTGGAAATGCATGAATCAATATTTTTAGTAGAATTCAGAATCTTCAACCACCCACCCTAAATACCTTCTTAAATGACTTTTGTAAATTAATTTATGAATTGCACAGTCTCCTGCAACCTGGCTGTGTTTCATTTCAACACCACTCAGGACAGTGTGAACTGCTTTCATCTGCAATGTCCGACCGCTGAGAGCTGCATTCCTCACCGCAGAGGAAATGTCATCCTCTATAATGTCACTAAAGGTGAGAAACGGCACACCAAACTCTACTTATGACGATCTTTCCTTTTCTTTTAACGAGGATTGAACGCATACACGAAACGTCTTCAATATAAATATAAAATACGGGACATTTCTACTTTAAATCTGCATAGAATTGAAATTACATGCATTTAACCCCTTAGCTGTCACCCCCCTTTTTTGAGAATGGGGGTTAAAATGCTCTATTCACACTTAAATGGTTGTAATTCAACAATGCTTTGGAATATATATATCAAGTTTGGTCTTGTTTTAAAGAAAACACTCAGCAGATTATTGCTGAAGTAAAACCAATTCAAAAAATGAAAGTATGAAAAAGTTATGGACGTTTAAATTTACAGTAAATCAAATATACTGTACGATATATTTTTTATTTTACATAAAATATATATTTTACAAAATATTTTTTACTATAAAATCAAAGCCATAAATCTAAACAAGTTATGTTCCAAATTTGAAGTTGATATCACAAAAATTGAAGATTTTGTTTAGGCGTAGTACCAAAAATAGCCACCGGGTGCCATTGAATTCCATTGAATTTAATTGCCTTTACAAATTAATACATTTCTGTCCAAATATCAATTTGGGAACCTTGAGACTCAGACCTTTCTGACAATATGTGTTTTGTCAAGATTAGAAAAGGTTTTGATTATAAATTATGAATATAATGATGCCCAAAAGGGGAGGAGCCTGATAAAATAAGTATCGTTTCTATGGTAACGCAACATTCAATTATAAACTGGTTTTCACAGGATGAATTCTGAGTTCATAAGCTTTTAAATGATACCTAATTTATGATAACTACTAAAATATGTGATATAATAAAAAATCTATATATATTTGAGGATAATATATATACATATTATAATTTTTAGAGTATAATATTATCCTATAATTTTTATTTTTTATTGAAAAATACTACATTATATGATTTTATTATGAACTTTTAGCATAAAAACAGAAGTTTAAATGATTAAAAGTGGGTGTATCGACTTTTTGTGACTAAGGTCAGACCTCCTGTTATGATGTGGATTTTTTTGAGGTGCACTCTTGTCATACATAATTATGTCTTCCTACATAATTAGTAACACAAAACAGGGGTAGAATGTCTATTTGGAAGTCTTAGACCTTTCCAACAATATATAATTTGTCATAATTAGATTAAGATTTAATAGAAATATAGTGAAGTTAGGCGTCCTGGGACAGTGACAGTTAAGGTTAAGCTAAGCATGGAAACACTCTGATTACGATGTCTGGTTGTCAGGTGTGGATCCGGACCTGTTGGTGTTCGGGAAGCACTTCACCACCAACGTGCGTGTTCTGCCTCACATGTCTTCGTCGCGGCTCAACGTTTCAGAGCCGCTGACCTCCGACAAGCGCCAGTTCAACTATCCACCCGTCCGCTCCATCAGTACGAAAAAACCTACAAGCCCCCAGCAAACCACTCGAGCTGTTCCTACTACACTTGAAGTACAACATAACCTCCCTCGATGTGCTACAACAACTCAGAGCACATCAGAACACACCACATCAACTACGTCACTCAACCCCCAACAGATGACTACTACGCCACAGTGGGCATCAACAAAACTGCATCATATTACACAAACCACCTCTCAGACGGATGAACCTGATACTTTAAACCAAAGCATCCCAAACCCCTCGACCACAACTGACTACTTTGACTCTACTTTGACCTCCATCCCAATCAATGAAGCTCTTACTACCCAACAGCCTTTGGGATTACAAACTACATCTCTACAGACTACAAAATCTTTAGTGGCGGCTTCTCAAAACACTACGCAATCTTTTGTCAAAACTACCAAGTCGGATGAGTATCTAAAAACTACAACTGTTTTCAAGACTTCCCAATCGGAAACCTTAACAAACGCAACGCCTTTGACTTCCGCAAACGTGCCCTTACAAACCCCTGAATATGAGACGAGACAAGCTACAACGGCTCAAAGCGAGTCAGAGCATGTTATATCAATTACGTCACAGCTTAAAATGGACTCCACACTCAATCCCCAACAGACGACTACTACTACGCCACAAAACGTGCCCTTTCAAACATCATCCCAAAATACCCAAACTACTATTCAATCCCAACCAAAAGTGACAATTAGCAGCGACACGAGAACCACCAACCCTACAATCCCCACCGACGACTCTACAACCCCTAGACACCGGACCCTAACTTTTACACACACCCGTATGGGAAAATCCGCAAATAGTTTGAGTTCTTCCCCTACGAGCAGCATGATGGACAGTCAACCGTATCCCAACGACACGAAGGGTTACATCAGCCGAAACATCACCACGGGTGACGCACCTCGACCCGTTGGGGACGGAGGAAGCTTGACGTCGGTGTGGCATTTGGCGGCCAATACCGTACTAGTGGCCTTAGCGACTTGCGCTACCGTCACGTTCTGCTGCTGTTGTTCTGTGTTCGCGGCTCTGAGCTGGAGAGGCCGGAGGCGACGCAAGCGCAGGTACAGGACAAATCTGAGGGGCAAGAGAGGATCAATGAGACTCATTAAATACGTCATTGTAAGGGAAAGCTCGTAAAGCGGGGTTCCTTGGGTTGAGCTCGAAGCCTAATCAAACACGCCTGAGTTTGATACAAGTTGGAGATGAACTCTGAAGTACAGTGGCTCTCCAGGCCCAGATTTGAGTCGTAACTAGTGCCTGCGTCTGAAATTGCATAGTCTCTAGGTACTTCCTTTGAACATGTAATGAACTACTTGCGCTGAGCTTCGCGACGCACTTCCGTTTGGAAACAATACACTTACTTCCGGTTATGTTTACTTTCAATGTACTGCGGTCAATCGTCAATGAGTTGAACAAACACCACCTAAAATGAGTGTCTGTAATAATATTTTAGATTTTGGACATTTTTATTGACAGAAGAAGGGGTATTCGGATGTTTACCGTGTGCAGAATTTTCAAAACTCATCGGAAAATGAAGTTTAAATCCAAACCAAGCCAATCCGAGAAAGCTGCGGCAGTTAAAAAACGCCGTTATTTCACCACAGGGTGTCAGCGTTCGTCTACGTTGGTGAGAACAGATGAATAACAACATCAGTACGAAACACGAACATTTATTTGGATTAAATGTTGTAATTTTTCAAAGTCAAACGTTTTACTGTTTACATGTTCATGACCAAAATGCTTAATTAATTTTCAGAGAAGTTGACTCATTCTCCTCTATGCTGCGGGGCGTTCTGATCTACGATCGCACCTCGCGATCATTCATTTATTCATTCATTCATTCATTCATTCAACTATTTTAAAGAGACTGGAATAAAGCACCAATGCACACTTTTTATTAGTCATATTCATTTAAAAAAATGTAAACTTAAGTGTAGAATCTAGGCAAAGACGAAAAGACTGCTGCAGTCAGCGCTAGCAGAGCTGGGTGCATTATGGGTAATTTTTTTTATTGAGAGTTGATTTATGTGTTATTGCAGTAAGATCTTTAAGTTATGTGTGCTAATGTTCAAGTTAGATCAGATGTTCTTGGTTCATTTACTGCTAAATGTAAAATGTGTCTCTCACCGTCATGGAGATGTGTAAGGCTAATGGGCTGCAGTTGTTGAGGAAACATTTTGCGTCGCGCGGTGTATTTTTTTATTTATTTTTTTATTTTATTTATTTATTTGTTTTATTTGAGCAGTAACCATTCAGCTCAAAAGGAGAGAGCCGAAGCAACAGAGCTTATTAGCGCGCCCCCCCCAAAAATGTTTCAAACAAGACAATTTCTCATTTCACAATCGTTCGAGGGAACAAAGTGCAAAACAACAACAAAAAGACAACAAATATCTGGTCATGATTAAACAACAAAGCGACAACAAGAATCTGGTCATGGTAAAAGTACCCCTACTGACAAAATATTTCTTCGTCTCTATACTTTGCAAAGATCTTTTGTTTATATTTGTATTTAAAAAGATTTGGATTTGGATTTAACGAATAACTCTTTTTTGCAACATTACTATTGGTCTTAGTGTGCTTTTATAAGTGTTTCCCCATATCATAGAACAACAATATAAATAAGGCAAGATCAAAGAATTATATAACGTATGCAGTGCTTTAATATTTAAAATGTGCTTTACTTTTGCAATTACAGAAATACTTCTTGATATTTTAGTAGCAATATATTTAATGTGAGAGTTCCAAGAAATTCTATCATCTATAATAACTCCAAGAAATTTGATTTCATGTACCCGCTCTATAACAACACCCTCTATCCTGAGCTTCCTGTATGAGACACGAGTGGTTTCATCTCGGGCTAGGAACATATAACATCATAGCAGGCTCAAGTGAATTATTACCAGTGTTGTAGTACTCGAGACTCGGACTCGTCTCGGACTCGGTCTCGAGACCATATTTTAATGGTCTTGGTCTTGTCATGGACTCGTGTCCATTTGGACTCGGAATTGACTCGTACTCGAACATTTTTTTTTTAGGACTCGGAATTATTCCCGAGTCCACTCGAGTTCAATTAAAAATATTTGTCATGATTATTAATGTATATTAATAAAATATTTCTTTAAATTAATTGACATGCCAAGTGATTGGTGATTTTCTAGTGCGCAACTGCGCATGACAAATTGTAATAAAATTACTTTTAACACCACCTACTATGTGGCCTTTTTACCCTAAACTGATCATATTTTTTAAACTCCAAGTAAATTCAGTAAAAAAAAAAAAAAGGATTTCTCTAAGTAAATAAAAGTAAATTAGGTAATCAACCCTCACTGGTCTCGGACTCGACTCGGACTCGACTCTATGGACTCGGTCTTGACTCGGACTCGACTCTCTCTGGTCTCGGTGTCGACTCGGACTCGAGTGAGGTGGTCTCGACTACAACACTGATTATTACAAAGGACATTATACAGTGTTTTAATCAATTATTGACATTCATAAAACGTAGGGATAATCTGCATTCTCATGTATGGACGTGCGATGAACACTCTAACCGGAAACTCCTGATATGTAATAAGTAGAACGCGGAAGTAGTTGTGCAAGTAGTCCATTACCCCCCAACGACCACTAAAAAGTACTAAAAAAGTACATTCAGTATGAATGTAATCCGAATGTACAACATTCACGTTCATGTTGTCAGAGACTTAACTTGAAACCGGCAGGAGATACAGACAGAAGAGAATACTGTGAATTCAGACATACTACTCTTTTCACACTCGTTTTTCGCCTATTTTATAGTAGGGACGTATGTGATTTCAGATGCAGCCCTTGTTTTGTAGAGGCTGCTAATGTGGTTTAATTCATATATATATATATATATATATATATATATATATATATATATATATATATATATATAATTGGAATTTTATATATGTGTGTGTGTGTGTATATATATATATATATATATATATACACTCGTATATCAAAATGTATTTAAAATATAGGCTAAGTCATCATCATCATGCCCAAGAAAGACAGTTAGACTTCCATAAAATACATGCATTCATGCTAAATTTTGCGGCTGAAATCTGTTCCAAAACTGTAATTAAACTTGTACTTGTAATTAATTGAATAGCATATATATATATATATATATATATATATATATACCATTTCACAAGATGTAAACAACACTGGTCCAGAAGCACTTCCTGTTTCAGTTTGTAACTGTTTTCTTTATTTCACATGTAAAGAAAACATCTTAAGTTTGTTTAATTTTTTGATTCAGTTTTAAATGTTCTGTTGGTTGTATTTTATCCCAGCTTTTATGTAGTGTTAAAAAACTGAAACAGGAAGTGCTTCTGGACCAGTGTTGTTTACATCTTGTGAAATGGTCTATATATATATATATATATATATATATATATAAACCAACATTCTCACCAGTGACAGATTATATCCTATGTATGCATATCTATGCTCACAATTGATTCTAAACTAAAGAGACCATATTTGGGTAACCAGTCAATTTTTGCTATTGAATTAATTAGAAGTAATTAATGCAAAAGTAAACGACACTCGTTTTGTTTTTACAGAGCTTGTTGCAATGCATTCTGGGAATTGCATTCTCTGTAAATGATGAATGTTGTTTTATAATTTGGGCAAAACCAGGTAGCCTATTGTGTTAAAATGACTGAGGCTACATTAGGTTTTGGAACCACGAAATTTAGCATGAATGTGTGTATTTTATGGAAGTCTAACTGTCTTTCTTGGGCATGATGATGATGACTTATATTTTAATTATACATTTTCATGTACGAGTGAAACAGTCTTTGCGACGAACACCAGTCCAGTCGAGAACGCCCTGACAGTTTTGTTTTCAAAAGGCAGTTATTTTGCTAAGTGCTTTAAGATGCGCAAGACTAACGCCGTGTCCAAATGGAGCCGGCCGGAACTTCTCGCTGAGGAGTTTGGTTTCTCCTTTCCCAGAAGTGACAGCTCAAAACAGGAACTAATGGAGTACTGGGGTATTTTTACTAGATGTTGGCTCAAAGCGTCCTTTCAGTGGGGTGCTGGTAATGGCACTTGAACCTTCAAGGGCTTGTTTTGAGTGCAGTGAGTTCTCGTAATGTTACAGGGGTAATTGTTTCGAGATAAGAGGTGAACTGCCCCAGTTTATACAAACTAAACATACTGTCTGTTATTTCAATCAATAGTGGGGGGAAAAAAAATCATGTTCTCATTCTAATCTCATTCCAACCTTGCTTTATTTGCTTTCTTCATAAAATAAAAAAGGCAGAATGACTATGTATCTCAAATTTGATGTGCTCTTTTATTTTTAATGATGTTGCTCATGCAAGGTTTGTCCCGTATCCGATGAATTTAAAGTCCCCCTGTGGTGAAAATCCAGTTTTTAATGTCGTTTATATCGCTATGTTGTGTTTTTAATACGCTTTAAGACAAACCATGTGTAAATTCATAAGTGGACGGCATTGCTGAGTATTTTCTGCTTAAAACTGCAATGACGTCACAAACGACCTTGTAACCAATCAGGTCAACGTGTGATCAACCAGTGGATCTGGTGAGTGGAGGCGGGGCTCATTTGCATATTCATAGAATCGCGTATACTATACGAGGCAAAGGTGTCGAATTACATTCAGGATATTTTATGCCATTTTGGTGATCAAGTGCTTTGAAGTCAGAGAGGTTAGGATTCATGCAGGACACTGGGTTTATTGATGATTTATTCAGAAAATATTATTAAATCCAAAACGATATTCAAGATCCCATTCATTGACAACCACATAAACATTCACCTCGCTATCTAGATAGTGTAATTTCTCTCAAACACAGCATCAAATAATTACTCATATTTGTAAATATGTAAGATAAGTAGCTGTTAAAATCTAATAAAGAACAGCAGCAATCGTTCTCCTATTCGCCATGTTAAACTAAACTCGGGAACTTGGGTATCAAAATTTTTAAGAGGTAAATATGACTTGAATATGTTCATGTCCAATTTTTAACTAGGACACTCGTATTTACGACAGCAAGTAAATGCAGAATTAGAAGCTTGGATACTCTGACTCTGAAAGGAAATACATTTAAAACACAAAAGCATTTTGCCGTCATGTATTAATTTATTTTTCATGAATATCACAGAATTTTGCATATAATTTGAAAACAATAATCACTTGACAGTTTTTTTGTCAACACATTGTTAATATGAAATTGTACACAATAATGGAGCTCTTGTTCCTCAGATATTGAGGAGCTTCTTCACAGCCTCTTTATACTTGCGTAGATTTCCCTCAGTCTCTCCCTCGTTCTTCAGCGCCACTATCGCGTCTCTGTACTCCTGTACGGCGGTCTGTCCCAGCAGCTCCTCCCTGCTTCCCCCCTCCACCTCATCCCTCGCTCCAAGCCTTCGCATCCGCACCAGAGTTTCCAGAACGTTCTTTTGGGATGGACTGTCT